GTCCACAGCCCCTTGGGGATCGCCCAAAAAGACTAAGAATCCTGTCATTTCATGACAGATCTTGGACCTCTTAGCTTATATGCTTGTCATTCATGACAATTATCCCCTCCTCCTAGGCGGCTCGCCCTCGAGTCGCATAGGCAGGTCCGAATAAGTACTCCGAGACGTCGACTCTTGGGGAGGACACAGACCCCGCACGCACGGCTCGCCAAGCACGCACAAAAGCTACGTAATCCGAAAAGCTATAAAAAGCTCATGTCTTTTACGCGGATCGAACCCTCGCCTACCGTGCGTAGCTCAGTACGGGAGCACAGCGTACCTATACGTCCCACGTGTAGATCTCAAAGACAGGCTCCGCATGAAATGCCGAAGAGTCAGAGGGTTGAACACGTATCTGTATTGTATAAAGCTGTCCTTGAGACATCGACTTCTCGCACTGTTGAGGGCTTCTCCAGCAGTGCGAGAATAGAGGTCCTATTTATCTCTTTCCTGTGTATACCTTGTGGGGGCCGACTTGGCATTGGGGGCCGTTGGCCCCATGGGGGCCAAATGCCCTTTTCGCCCCATAGGGGCTAAACGCCTGATGGGGGCCATTCGCCCCATCGGGTGTTGTCGGCCGGGAAGCGTATTGTAACAGTCATTGTAACAGCCCTGCTTCCCGGGTGACAATCTGTCATAAAATGACAGGATTCTTAGTCTTTTTAGGCGATCCCCAAGGGGCTGTGGACCTCTTCCTGACACTCTCCCATAGGCGCACCTATTTTGGGTAGCTCCAGGCAATCACGGTTGCCAGATAGTGTAGCCCCGGGGCGTGGGACATGAGGTTCGGACGACAGTAGGATCTGGGGGGTATCAACACCGCCCGAGGATAGCCATTAATGGCACTTTAATATGTCAGGTAGTGCCACGTCTTCGCCGTGGTGACCCTGTCCCAGAAGCGCAGCCCCGAGTCCATGGTGAAGTTTTTGTACGGCGCGGGTCCGGACGAGGCGGCATGGTTCGTTTGGTCCGTCACCGGCTTCTGGAGGCTGGTCACAAAGATCATCCGAGAGTCGAACCATTCGTGACAAGATGTCCCTACCGTTACTACCAGCTGCGAGGTGCCGATTGAGGTCACTCTGCGTGATCCGCGACTTCGTGCGGCGGAGGCTCTGAAAAAACTGACGGCAGAGGCCTTGTAAGGTAGGGAGCAGCTCGCAGTATTGGCCCGCGAGGTCGAGAACACAAGGGGCACAAATCCGTCGAGGCGATGTCGTACATGGTCGGCCTGGGTTTCAGTGTGGCTGGCAGCTAGGCACGGTATCCGTCGCCGTGGAGGCTACGGTCGTATCCTCGACGTCTGTTAGCCGTGCCTTCACCAGCCTCTAGGGCCGGGCGATTCAGTGGTCGGCATCTCTAACCGTAACTGGTGAGCTTGGATAGTTCGGTGCTCTGTGTGCTCCTTCTTGGAACGTGGCTTACGCTAATAGAAGCGCTTTTTCGTGGGATCTTTCGGCCAGCAGACGTACTCCAGACGCCACTCGCCCCGATATCTCCTCCACCATGTGTTGCAAGCACCGCAGAGGCGTACGAGCTCCCCTGTCTCGGCCTCCAACGCCAGTCTCTCCCTTACACATAGTCCTGCGCTACGTAAGAAACTGCGCTTGCGGCGGAGCTAGAGCTCGTAGCAGGACTTGCAAACGGCATGGCCCCTGACATAGTGTCGCTGTGGCTGAACTCTTCTGGGAAGGCAGTGCACATGCGGAGGCCTGAGTTTTGCGTCAGTGGACAGATGATGAGGTCGAGAGGGACGAGAGGAACGATCTCTACTACTTACTTGAGGTACGAAGAGCCTTGACAGCACAGCTCTTCCTAGGTCTTCGAGCTGATGTCGATCGCCGGCTATGTCCATTTATGCATGATGTACTTGCGGTCATCTTGCTGTGGTTGCGTCCACCGCTTCTGGCGGGCCTTCCACTCCTCGATAAGCTCTGCCGGCAGGCCAAGGCCAGGCGGCGGCGGAAATTGACTGTAACCACCATCAGCGAGGCAGCTGCAAGGCAGCGGTCGATCCAGTTGTGGATGGAGGTAGTCATGGTGCGGGAACCATGCGGAATTCGTATCAAGTGACCAAAGGCATCCTACGCGGCCTCATTTCTCGGGATGCTTTTCAACCACGCAGAGCAGGTCTGCTCCCTTGCAGCGATCGCATCGCTCCTGTTCGCCGGGGGCGTCTCTACTGCGAGTCAGATTCTAAATTCCTACGGTGATGGACTCGTGCTGGGGACAACCATCCTGAGAGGAGTTGTGGACTCAAAAACTGCACCCGAGCTTTAGGGAGCGACAGTGCTCACAAGTGCGTGTGCTCCTACGTTGTGTCATGCCCCTTGGCCAGGCTTCGGTGCCCCCGGTTCTGGCCATCGTCTGGGCGGCCTCCGCCCAGGCTTGAAGTAGCGGGGACTGATTGGTGATGTACTCCTCTACGTTGACGGTGCAGCGGCAACGGAGTCGTTCAGCGCCGAAAGTCTAGTCGATGCCAAAACATGGGGTTCCTGCGTCTCCAAGTTCTTGAAACACGTCGAAGAGTTTGAAGACCACCATCTCTAGCGGGACGGCGTACACGTCAATGAGCTCTCCATTCCGCAGGGGCAGCGGGACCGGGTTGGTGTTGTCGCGTCGCCCTCTCAAACGCCCGGCGGGCGTGCAGGGAGATCGCAGCTAGGGAGTCCACCCAAGAAATACAGGCAAAGCGAACTTTGATGAACGGGGTGTCTGGATGCCCCAGAACGAATTCCTGGTCGAGAAAGGACGTAAATATATACGGCTCAGCGGGATATGCTTAGAACGGGTAGAACGAACCCCCACCCCCTGTCGGTACTCGTCAGCTCACATCAAAGCGGTCGTCAGGGGCTCATATTCTACGGCAATAGGAGCCAGCCCCACTGCGGTCGCCGCAGCTCAAGCAAGTATATGTCGACCGGATTCAAGGCCGTGAAGTATCTACCACGAACGGTCGCTTCAATATCGTCGATCAACCAGGCGTCCGGGTCAATGCCGACGCCCGACGCCTATCAGCTACTCCTCGATCCCCCCAGGACCGAGGCCGCGGGCAGTGCCCGTACGACCATCCTTGGAACGAGTTCGACCTGGAGGAGGCGAAGTTTGAGATATCAGCCTCCAGATCGGGAAGAGCACAGCTCGGGAACTCTGGCGTGTCGCGACAAGCGACGAGCCGGCGAAACTTGCCAGTGCGTCAATTTCCCTTGACAGAACCCCACTATATCGTTCGAAGTCCTTCCCCAGGCAGGTGATGGGCATAGCGAATGCATCCCACACCACCGGCGCTCGGGTGGCTATGCGGCAATGGTAGCCGGCGCCGAGACGACAATGACTACAATGTGCCGGCAGACTATAGGGCACGGGCCTCAACTAACCTCTGTCTTCGGGAGGATAGGTCCGATACGTCGGGCTACAGAACGAACACCTGGCGTGTAAATCAGAATAGTCCTTTGAAGAGATGATAGTTACCCGCGGTCAGTGACCGGGGAAATGGATCTTGTACCTTTCCCTTGCTAAGTTCACAACAGGCGGCTGTCAAGGCCAACGCCATGCGCGAGGACTTAAGGCAGGTATCGGTGCTCAGACGAAGAGATCGGGGGATGCCGTGTGGAGACCACACCTCCTCGCCCTGAATTTGCACAACCTTGTCGGCAGCCTGCAGTGTGTATCTCGCATGGATACCTCACGTGGTCAGGCGCGGCTGATCTGATGTCGTCGGCCCCGACTCAGACTGCGGGCAGTAGGTAGGCGGGAGCCTAGTCTCCAAGGCCTCGATTGGGGCTACGGCCCATTTTATACACGAGTAGAAGGGGTCGATTCGTAATCACCGTCCGGTCAGCGGCCGTGGACGACTCTGCGCATCGACGTGCTCTCGAGACATGTCGGGCCTCCCGAAAATGCCTGCAAGGCTGTCGGCATACAATACCTCGTCAATCTGGAGAGGTCTGTCTCTTCTCCTCTTCTAAGCGTCAAGTCATTGTCCGTGGCAACTACGGATAGGCAATTTGCACACAGATCTCTAACCGTCAGCGACGACTGTGTGTGCCCGCGTCAGCAGAATCGCACACTCGCAAAGCTTACTAAATCCACTCTATGTCTTCGGCGGATGTCGTCTCTCGTGCATCCTTGTCGCCCTCGTCCATGACAGAATAAGCGTGAAGTTGTGCCTTTTCCCGCTTGGTCAGGATGTACCGGAGCGTTCTGTGAGCCTGTCGGCTAGCCAGCAACCCTTTTCACGTTGGGCTTGTTCATCTGATGGGCGGCTGGAACCGTGACTACCCGGGCCATACGACGGTGGCCTGGAGTGCGGACCACCGAGTCATTCAATGCCCAACTCACCTCCCGAAACAAACATCGACCCAAGCTCGGGAAGCACTCTCCGACCAGTTCGGCCTGGAGATGGACCCGGGGCATGTCGAAATGCTCTGTGGCTACCTTTGCGCCCTTCTTCAACTAGGGTTACCGCATCCACCTCCACGATATCGACGCCTATCTCTCACCTAAAAGGGCCACCCTCATTTCCTCTCCCCAAACATCACCTTTCAACGGTCACAATCCGGGGCCTGGGATTGTGTGGTTATCAACACCATACGTACACACAGCATGACACATATATATAGGTGCCACCTCGCTCCCTGCGGGGGACTATATGCTACCTCACACATGGCGGGTGTCGCACACACCTCTCCGCTAGTTTAATTCGTCTTAGAATCCATATCATAACTACACCCAAACAGTGGATATTCCTCCTGTGGCAGGTTACTTACTTGCTTGCTTACTCCATGATACCACGTGGGTATCGGACGCCCGTCAATGCACTGCACAGCTGGGCAAGGCACAGGGTGTTTAACGATTCACCCCGGCGCTCGCCATCATCGCCCTTCGCCATCTCGTCCCGTGAGTCGCTGCACAGTGCCCAGCATTACTGGCGCAAGCAGCTTTCTGTCTGTCCCTCCACTACCATGACGTCGAGCACGTCGTGCTGCTGGGTCTGAAGCAGGATGAACGCACCACACCGACCAGAGGGCCGAAGACGGGTCGTCCGAGTGTGTTATGCCACAGGAAGGGCGGCACTGTGATCGCTACGCAGAGTATAGTAGTGCCTTGACGGGCGAGTTGATGTGGGGAGGTACTGGAAGACAATCACCCGGAGGGCCGGCGAAAACTACGACTGAAAGTGGTGGGATTGAGCGGTGCCAATAGTTGTTCTGTGATGTGAAAGAAAGGGGCAAAGACTGAGTTAATGGGACTTCGAACGCAAGGACGAACTGGCAATGTAGAGGACAATTTTATGCAGTCAAGAATGTGTTGCAATCTATCTACCCTTTGGCATATTGATATGCTGCTTCCGACCCGCCACGCCATGCAAAGATCTAATCGAACGTAGGAACCAGGCCCGCCTCGTTAACGGAATTCCTCAAATGACAGCCGCAGATATCGCCCCCTATGCCCATTCGACAGCTGTATGTCCCGCCCTTCCCCCATCTGTAGGAAAATTCTTAAATCAATGCCTCTAAACAGCGGCAGTACGCCAACCCGGGCAATATTCCCGTACAGATACCTGGGCCCATCGCCGCTTCGATCCATCTGATATATGACCTGCCGCGGCTGACCGTTCCAGCCCGGGGGCGGTGGCCCGTATCCAAGGCCGCTATAGTGGCCCTGGTTCACGCCGCGGCTGGCATCGTACTGCTGTTGCAGGTAGTTAGGGTCGTAGGCCATTTGTGGAGGAGAAGACTGGGAAGCCTGTCTGTCTGGCTGTGGTTGGGGTACTGCGCGGGTGGAGGGTATTGCGGAGGGGTCGTATTTGTCGGCCATGGCGGAGTTCGGGCTCTTTTTGATCAAGGCGGTTCGAGGTGCCGGTCGCTCGCTCGCGAGCTCGCAGAAAAGTTCGGGGGATGGGTTTAATCAATGTCGATCTGGGACTTTGTTGTTTCTGGTGTTTGTCGAGCAAGACGCTGAGCTTGTTCTCGGGGCGATGGCTCGGCGCTGAATTTCGCTGGAATCCCCGTGCGATCGGCTCCTCTTTCTATTGCCGTAAGAGAGGCGAATGGGACACGAATCTGTTGCTTGCTGCGCAGGAGTCAAACACAGGAAAACGGATGGACAAAAATTCGGTGAGAGGGTAAGCCCTACGCAGGCCCAGTCTCGTGATCGTGGCCGGCTCAAAAGAGCTGAAGAACCTCCAAGGCTATTGAAGACCGTTGTCCTTATCTCGGGCTGTGAGACAACCGAGAAAACACCCCAAAGAGTGAAACTCAGGACGAGGTGGCAAAATGTGCAGTCCATTTGTCGAGTCGTTCAAGCTCTGAAGAGTCGAGCGGGAGCGAAGATCCAGGTAGGTCCCTCTTTTGTAGCCCCAGGGGCCAAGTTCTCGGAACCTTCACAGTAGCACTCTGCTCACGCTACTCAGGGAACGCCTCCGAGCTCACCAAGCCGAGCTCAGGATTGTATATGTCGTCACAGCACAGCTCAGAATGGCTCAGTCATGACTCATGTTGAAGCTTGGGCATGGAAATGGTAATGACCAACAACCCGTGAACCGAAACTTCCCGGGGTCCAAGCACGGGGCTCGTTTGTTCTCGGGGGTGATTTTGTTGTCTGGCCCAAGTTTCGAAATACCACAATGGAGCAACAGGGCAGACGTGCATGGGACTGGCTGCCTATTCCGTCGGCCTGGGTTGCTCAGCAATGGCTATCGATCCAGGAGTCTTGCCCTCTTGAGCGAGCGGTGATGGAGGATTTGTTTATTCTCTTTCTTGCTCTCTTTCCCGCGCTACACACATCAATTGTCTATGTGTGTTGTGTCCACAACACCACAGTCGGTGAGTTTGTTTCCCGGCGTGAAACGCGACGAGGAGTGGCTGGTATTCTGTAGCGATGTGACTTCGCTTGTCGTACGAACAAGCTCGAAAACGAGAACTGAAAAGCTGACGTTCCTCTCCCTCAGCATCGACATCGTGGTTCAGAGGTTAGGAGACTGACTGTCGACAGTGATCCGATCGTGTTCCCACGGTTGCTGAACCAGGGCAGCTCGAATAAAGAAAACAAGATGGACGACATCACCTCCCGACTCCCACCACACCCCGTCGCCGCCTTATCCCGGGCAACGACCTCGACCTCTTCTTCCCCTGCTGGATCCAGCCACATTGCCCGTCATGCTTGTCTGCATCAAACCCCTACCCTTGCCCGTGGTGCGCGATGTCCCAGACCTGTGTCCTCAACACCATTATCTACTCGTACCAGTTCGGCATCCTCTCGCCCCTCAAGTCCGCCGAAATCTGCCCCTTGGCGTGGCGGTAGCGGTGGGAGATTGCGCACCCGGCCGCTCGGCTGTCGGGTGCTCGAGTATGACGTTTGTGAGCGTGGTGGTCGCGGTGCTGGCGACGTTGATGCCGCTACCACCCTGGCCGGAGAGGAGTCCCCTCTCGTTGTGCCACCAGTTTGCCTCAAAACACTCGTTTCCCGGTCAGCTGCACGACTTACCGAGCTACCTCGCAAGGGCGTACGGTAGAGATAAGGTTGTGCGAGAATCGAGAGATACCAGAAATCCGGGCACGATGAAACAAGTCTCACCAGGATCACTCGTCCTGGCGGGGCCTAGAGGATGCTGAATTCGGTTTTTGGGAGGCTGTGAGTTAGTCGGCACCTTCAAGCCTGTCGAACATCGCCTCCGTAAACCCTTGCTTGAATCCTGCCCATCCAGCCGGCCGTTGTTCCTCAGTTTCTTTCTCCTCTTCCCTCCAATCATGGGTGCACCGTAGTATCTGTTTCCTTCCATCTTCAGAGCTTCATCAAGTCAACCACTTGGGTCTGCCAACCCACTTCAATGCCCGACGAACTCAGCGTCACAGAGATGCTGCACAGAAATGCTGCTGAACATCATGACGGTGGCGCTCATCAAAGGCCCGGCAATTTTGATCAGATCGTTTTGCTGGCGCCGTCCATGACAGGAAAGAGTCTGCAGACCAGCTCCAAGCCTGACAGGAGGGTACCCTGGTGGTCAGCCGGGCCTTCACAGAGGTTTGTTTGATTTTGGCACGCCTGGAACCTTGTATCCATACGTCATGTAGGTATTCCGCCTGTCGGTCAGTCAGTCAGTAAGAAAGTCGGCCAGTCTTCCCTGGCTTGCCCTTCGCTGACTTGATTTCTCCTTTTTCAGGGACGTCGAGGTTGTCTCCTGTGTGTATATGTGTGCATGTCCAGGCTCTTTCACCCAGCATCCCCGGCAACGAACGATACATTTTCCACTCTCCCGGGTTGATGGTAGGTAATGACATTGCACGCGCGGTCCGGGAGGATTTCCCTCGGCTGAGGAGTCGGGTTCCTGCTCCTGAAGAGGGAGCAACAAATAGCGTACTGTCACCCGACCTGTTAAAAGACGGACATGGCAAAGTCGGAGAAAACGTTCGGCAGACAGCGATGGAAGTAGCCAGAGATTCAGCGCGCGAGACCGTCGAGGACATCGTGGCATATGAGGAGAGGTAAAAGCAAGCCGCACGATAAAGTAAACATTCGCATTTTTGAGCTCTCGGGGGACACTACCGTGAGGCGTCAATGGCTATGGCGATGCTGGTGACGAACGACTCAAACAAAGAGTGGGTTGTAGATAGTAACAATCACAGGGATGCCGCTGATCATCCTGTTGAGCCAAGCGAAAACAGTATTTGCAGGCAACCTCGTCAAAGAAGCCGCGGATTTGCTTGTTGCGGAAGAGGATTGAAATCCAATGGTCTGCTTTTTGTAACGTTACGTGCCACCTGACCTTTGACCAATCGGGTGAGGAAAAGCGCCTTCGTACAACGGTGACGGCCATGAACGACAGAGTGTTATCGTTATCTACTATAGTGCCTAAATCTATCATTAATTGACGAGGGGGTGCTGAGGGTTGTTTGACAACGCTCAGCACCCCCTCGTCAATTATTATTGCCTGAGGGACCGTGTGGTTTGTATAGGCGCCTACGGGCCGGCTGAGCTACGCACACGAGGCGAGGGTTCGAATCCAGGTGGTAAACGCTTTAAGTTTTTTGACCTTTTCAAGGTAGCAAGTGGATTTTGAGATGTGTGAGGGTTAAGGCTGGGCGCCAAGAGAATATCTCGAACCTTCGCATGATAATTGTTGTGAGTGTCAAAGTGTTAGAATCTATCAACAGCTGGTAGGGTTCTCTGTCTTTTTGCCTCTGGTAGGGAATTGAGGCACTATCCCTGACACTCTGCCTCTGCCTCTGCCTCCGCTTCTGCCCGGTACCCATTGCCCAGTGCATGTACCAAGTGCCCGTCTTGTTTCAGCTTCAGTCTTCTTCCCACGCTTAGCAGGTCGCCTTGGGGAGTCAGGCGGTGAAAACGCCGTCCCACAGCGTATTTTAACGAGAAGGCCACAGTGTTTTGAACAAAGTCTCGAGCAAGAATCATACCACGATAGTAGACGCCATTTTTATACCCCTGGCGTCTTGCAAGCACAAGCACAAGCACAAGCACCATGAACAGTATTCAACACATTGATTATCAGTTGTCTACGTACAATCCGAATCCAACTTAGGCTTTGACAAAACATGCCTCTTCCAGTTTCTTGACGACCTTGACGCAGCGGCTCTCGAGCTCCCTCGTCCAGCCGTCAGCAGCCCACAGAGACAGTGCCAGGCTGATTGCCCGTCCAATGAGCATGGCAACCATCCACACCAGATCAGTCGTCTCAATCCCCTGTACGCCCATCGACCACCAGACTTGGTGGGGGATCATGTACCCCACCGCGTACAGGATGGGCCCCGTGCACCAAGTAGAGGCCAAAACTGATTTTGCCCAGGTATTGCGCTATTGGGTTATGCACACACATTTATCAAACTCTGGAGTTCCAAGAAACCAAGCCATCTGTCACCCGGGCTCCCCGGCCGACAACACCCCATGGCTGTTACAATGGCTGTTACAATGGCTGTTACAATGGCTGTTACAATGGCTGTTACAATGTGCTTCCCGGCCGACAACACCCCATGGGGCGAATGGCCCCCATGGGGCCAACGGCCCCCAAGTGCCAAGGCGGCCCCCACAAGGTATACACAGATAGAGATAAATAGGACCTCTATTCTCGCACTGCTGGAGAAGCCCTCAACAGTGCGAGAAGTCGATGTCTCAAGGACAGCTTTATACAAATCAAGATACGTGTTCAACCCTCTGACTCTTCGTCTAACGATCCCACCCCAAGGCTCTCTGACACCATCCTTGTGGATACGGAGCATGCTGAACTCTGGAGGAAGTACAGTACATTTCCAGCCACTTGAGTTTGCTGTGTATATAAGTACCTACCCCATCTAACCATTTGGTCCCTATGAGATTAGATGATCCTAGACCTTGCTTCGACCTTAGCCTTTGACGGTCCTGAGCTCTGGTCCAATTGGAGACCCGGACAACCCGAGAGTCGCCCTCTCAGGCCCTGCTCTAGTTAGATGTATGTGCCTTCCTATCTGCGGGGGTCGGTCTTTGAGGACCATAGCAACTTCAGCCAACAGGCAGTCAAGAGGTATTGATTCTCATGACCAAATGGTCTTCTTCGACCCGCTGGACGTGAGGATCCAACGTGAAGAGATTTGTGAAAGGACTGTTTCCGGCATCAACTGAAGTCTCAGCTTTTTTTCCCCATCGTGGCCCGAGATGTGGATTTCCCGAAAGAGATCGACATGTCCCTTGACTCCATGTCTTGCGTCGTCATCTTCGGAAGCGTTATCGCTTTTCCACACGAAGACTAGACCGGCAGCCACGAACAGCCACCTTGGCATGTATTTGACTCGCAACGTTCGAAGACAGAGGAGCAGCTTGGCGGACTTCCATCTTCTCTCTCTTCAATGCGATTGCATTCTGGAGTGGTGTCCCCCGACGAGCCAACTTTGCCATCAACAGTTGCGCCGGCTGCCAGGAGACATGCCGTGACCAGCCACCGAAAGCGTCGCAGCGTGACAGAGAGGTAGAAGACCTTCCAGAATAGGACTCTCGATGTCGAAACCCTCTGGAGATCAATCTACGAACTGACCCGACATCCCCACTGAGAAGAGCCTTGTGCCACTCGTGAAGATAGGGGCATTAACAGTAACAGCACCCGTTCGCAGCCGTGGGTCATGTACCTCCTCGTCGTCTTCTTCGGTTCTTCCTTCTGTTCTTGAGAGAAGGAGGACGAGAATGAGTCTATCTTTGAAAGGAGCTGTATTTCCAGCCAGACCGACTTGCTTCTGCAGCTGCAATATCGGATTCCCTATTGCCCCTGATTCGCCGAGCTCAGGGTGTGATTTGGCCCACGAATGGCAATGTTGGTAAGATCAAAACGTCGAATGTCTTCTGCTGCTTCATTTCTTCGAGTTTGGAGTCGGTGACAAAGGTTGATATTGACGACCAGTCGCCGAGCGCTGCATCGTAGCCATGACGCGCCCTGAGTGAGAGATTTTTTGCTTTACCCAAACAAGCCTGGGGAAATTTCTGCATGTCCTGAGCATAGACGCCGTTCAGGTAGATGTTTTTGGTCGATGGAATGGCATTGTCCCATTTATCCTGAGTCATCGGCCATAGCTTCTGATTGAGATCGTTGAGTTGTTAGCCTCTGCGGCCTCCCAGCGCCAGTGTTTTACTCACATAGCCTCCCAACTTCGAGATACCAGTCCCCACTGCACTTGCCGTGGTATGTGTCGGGACAGACACTTCTTCCACTTCTGCACCTAGGCTTCGAGACTTGTCCGCAGCAGCGAGGAACAACTCCTTTACCCTCGGATCGAGCGCCGGGGTGCTGAGATGGGAGTAGCACCGTTGCTGGCTGCGGCTTCGGCGGTCGGTCCCACGGCGGTTGGGTTGTTGCCTCCGCAGTAGTCAGTCATTTCGGCGTCGAGCTCTTCAGCGGTCTTGGGTTTGGCTCGAGGATTCCGTCCACGCTTTGGCTTTCCGGGTTTGCCGGCCGATCTTCCCATCGTGCTGTTGCCGTCGCGGATTTTGGTTGACTTCTGGGGTTGGTGCTGGTTTTTGTCAATAGTTCTGACTTTCCCGAGCGTTTCGGTGGTTTTGCGTACGCAACACGGTCCGCAAGTGATTGGCTGGAGCCTGCTCTGGGACACGGCTAGCATCCATGACAACTTCAATCTAGTCGAGGCCAGGAGAGATCCATGTACGGTGCGAATAGTAGTCGTGGTTGCCTTCATGAGTCGCTTGTCAACCAGCATTCCGTTTAGGTCTTTGGCAGCTTCTGCGGCAGAGTCGGGCTTCGAGAAGTGGGAATAGCATTTCTTCCGCATCGTTCGTCCCCCAGGTAAGAATGCAGCAAGAGATGTTTCCACAGTAGAGTATAATCCAGGTATATATCCTTGCCCTTGAGCATCAGCGAGTGCAAAACAGTTGAGAGCAGCAGCAGCATGCAGTTCGAATCATATATCGTCGCTGTCGTGCCATGAATGTGTTCGATCGAAAGGGTGCTTGGGATTCGTATACATTCTAACACCAGCTGCGGAAAAGGTCGGCTAGCCCGGTCGTGTGAGTAGCTTGATGTCACCATGGTCTCAGACAAGAGCAGCCTGGTGCAGAGAGAAATCGAGCGGCAACCCAGACTCTGAGTTCGATCGTCCCTGTAATGGAGGCCGAATTCCCGGTCGCTGGAGCTCTGGGCGCCCTATAACTTCGGACCTGTATATGCGTAAAACCAAGTCTACAGAGGTAGGCAGGAGGATCAGACACCGCCGCGTCCGGGGAGAACCCCTGGGACTGGTCTCTCTGTGTTGGGCTGATAGTGGTTGCTTTCACTTGATAGTTCTAGGCAGAAGCAAGGGTTGGTCGGGAATTGTGTACAATATATGCTGGCGGCTAGTTCGATCATGCGAAGGCACGAGAGGGAGAGAGACTGTCTGTTTCCCTAGCCTCGGTCAGCCGTTAGCCACTTGAAGGTATATACCAAGTAGAAGGTAAAGATATGCGCATCACTACTGATGGGGAACCTAGCTTCGAAACAGGCGCAAACACGTCAAGCACAGCGATTCCTGCCTCGCACTGCCGGAGTCAGCGTCAGCGGTGCCTGGCCGATGTTCCAGGTGGACCCTTGATCTGGATTCACCTGGGCCGACCCTCTGGCCCCAAAGACGAGTACAGCTTCGAGTGGATGGTCCGCCGCCTCGAAAAGTTCACCGCAGCCAGATCAGAGTGCGGCGACATTTCCTGGAAAGTCGGCTGAAGGACCTCCTGATCCTTGCCTACGATGCAACGACAATGTCCTTGCCAACCGGCCCCGAAGCGACCAGCACCTGCAATACAAGAATTGACCTTGTAGATTATTTCAACCGAGTCCTTTCTCTTTCTTGATGCATGCAGTATGGAAGGCCCCGTGGTGTTTCTAGTGGCCATGATTGATGGGGTTGCCGAGGAATTGGGCAAGGATCTTATCAAGGGGGGCTGGCCTGGGTCCCGTTCAAGACGATGATGTACTCGTATGTTGTGACCATACAGATATTTGGAGCCTGGAGGAGGAAGGTGAGAAAATGGTTTTCGAGGGAATGAGGGACAGAAGGAGGACACACATCATGACCAGCCTTGTTTCACGAACTTTAGATAGCCAGCTCGGTTCGTCTTAAGCATTTGAATCGGTTTAGAAGATGCTGGGCTGTCAATGAGACATGGTTGTTTGTATGGATTGCTCTCTACGTGCTCCGTTTGGGCAGCTGGTTCTGGTCGGGTTGCATATCGCAGAGTCAGTAATACTCGCGACGTGATTGGTGGGCACCGTCGGTAATACTAGCGATGTGATTGGTGGGCACTATCAGTAATACTTGCGATGTGATTGGCGGGCACCATGCTGTCGTCAATGAAAGCTTCTTGTCGACGCCACCATATTCATCTCAACCACACTGCCTTTGGAGTATAGAGCTGGGACCTGCTCGACGGGTTGTGACAGAATGCGGTCTCAGCTTCTCCGCGCCGCAGGGCGCACACACGACAGGCGGCGACCAGGACGTTTACATCCTCCGCGGACAAATACGGCAGTTGAATCAATGTTGGTTGCGCTCTAGCGTTGACTAGGTCAGAGACAATGTATTGGCCGGTCTATCCCAGGAGTCGGTCGACGGTCTTACTACCAGTACCAGGTGCTGGGCGCCACCTATCCGACAAAAGGGTCAAAAGTGGACCGACGGTCTCCTTGCTCTGGCCCTTTATGCATTTCGTGGTCAAGACCGTCAGCAGACCCTAGCTCTGGCCCCTTGAGGTAAGAGACGACTTCGTCGGCGAGCTCGAGGAGGTCTACCGTCGTGAGCTTCTTGTCGACTCGCTGACTCGGTACATGTCTACATCATCGCTCAGCTCTCCCTGGCTGGAAACACCTGTCCGAGTGTCGTTGCAGCAGGCGTCGTCGTTGTTAGGATTTGGTCCGCTCTTTTCGTCGTCACCGTGTCTTCCATTAACTGTCGTCGAAACTTGTTCAACTGGGCTAGATCTCAAGGATACCAGTGTAAAACCACATCGACATACAGTCCCGGGACATCTTCAAGCATACCCGCACGCGTCTCACCACCGACGCGGCCTGATTTCACCATCGGCACCACCTGTGCAGTGAATTCCACCTTTCCAAACACCCTATGACCGGCGAGTTCGTGTATATCCTGGCCGGTCAGCACTTGCACATCGCGGCAAGTCGACCAGAGAATCTACCTCATGGAGTCCGAGGGGGTCAGTGATGCCTGGAAAAGGCTGGTCGAATCGAAGGTCGGCCTTCCGGTCCGGTCGGCCTTCTTGATTCGCTGCCCACTTTGCAGTTTACGATGAATGAGTGTGTTTGGGGTCCTGGATACCGTGGTCAGCAATCTCGTCCCATCCGTGGCCGGTTCGGGGGACTGACCAGGTTTGCCAGCGCTTCTACGGCGCGCTCTACCTGCACGTTCAGCTGCATGGCCGCCACATGGAGTCGGAGGAGCCCATGTAACTCATCCTCGCGGAACGTCGCGCGGTCCATGGTCGTCCCTGGGGCCCCGCCCTGTACGGTCCGTGTCACGGGATGCCCGAGCCATCGACGACCATGCCGTCGGTGCTGTCCACGTGGATGCCACAACCTTAAAGAGCACGAAGATTGAGGTCCAACTGCCACTCGGTTAGATTCGGGAGAAGATGCGGCGGCTGGCACTTACCTATACTCGCGAGCTTATCGTGCGTTCGCTAGTCCGGAAGAAGCGACCTGCCGCCGTAACGGAAGGATTGAGGCGGGAGAATTCCTCATCCCTTTATACCGACCACCCTGCAGTGGCGGGTACCGACCCGCTCGGACTCTTTTGTCACTCACGCCTTGGTGGCCAGCCCCATAACATCGCCAGGAGGAACCTGGCTCCGAGGTTGATGCCCCAGGAGCAGGGATATTCCACAGCCTCTTGTATTCTTTCATGTGTATGTTTACCATGCAGTCAGGCGTGGCGAGTCCACAAAGAACCAACACCCCCGGGCATCATGCCGTGCATGTTCAACAGATCGATCAACCCACGCCGGTGCCACTGCTACGCTATACACCTCGTCACTAAACTCGGTCATCGAGACCTTCTCCATCTGCCTGGTTCTCAGACATCCTATCCTGTTCATCTTCGTCCAAACCACTACCGCGTCCGTCTTTTCTTCCTCCGACATCTACGCATTGGATTCAGATCCCGCCCCTCCTCGACCCAGTGTACCAGGACTGGCTGATGGGGCCATCGACCAAGGCACGGCTCTGAAACGACTTTCGCAATGTCGCCGGACACGCACCACAGCCGCGTTGAGCAGTATACAAAATGTTTGGATTGAATTCCCCCAACATGTCGGCTTCGAAGACAAGTCATACTGCCCTTATTCCCGACGGTGCCACGCCCTCCATCACGTCCCTATGTCCTACGATGCCCACTATGTCATTACCCCTAGCCCAACCTTATCCCTCCGCCGCGAGCGGAGAACTGCTGCCTCTTTCTACCACTGGCGCCGCCGCCAGCTAGCCCTGTCGCTTCTCAAGTCCGCTCATGATAGCCTAGTCAGGGGTCCTGGAGTCTGATGTCAGTCACTGGGCAACAGATAGTCCAGCACTCACATACCTCTCTTCCATCGTCTGCCCGACTTCCTCAATTGCTTGACCGCCCAGACCATATTCATAGCTAGGACTATGACGACGACCGGGCCAAGGAACGCGAGGCGTGTTAAATCCGACGTTATCGTCCAGCCAGAGAGCACCAGAGACTATACGAGGATGACATAGTACTCCACCGCCTTGGTCCCGACCAGCTTTCCCCAGGTTCACGCGACGGCCAGAGCGACCTCTGTTCAACCACGACGTAAAACATATACGTTATCGCCCCGGCAGCCGCTTGACGGCCTAATGGAGACACTGGGGAATCACCCACGGTCGCCGTTCTTAGGAAGAGGTAGCAATTAGTTCAAGGGGGGGGCCGGACACTCCTATAACGGACTCCATCCTGTTTGGCTGAGCGCGGATCTACCTGGGACAGCGATAACGGGTCGGGGCGGGGTGATTAGCACGAGAGGGAATTCGGCGGCGAGCACGGTGATAAAGGAAAGGATATTCGTCGATAGAGGAAAAAAGTCGACGAGTCCACATGGGCCTTTGTGAAGAGTCCTAGGCTGTCGGCAGTATCTGGGCTGTCTTGATTTGTTGGGTCGGTCACGGGAGCCGATAGGAAGGTGGCGACAGCTGGCCCGGGGCGGTCGACACTTTCCTTTGTTTGTCCTGCGCCCACCACGCGGTACCGGGGAGAAGGGAAATTGCAGAGTCTGCACACCGCCTCGCAGCTGCTCGACGACTTCAAGAACGACGATATGGTCAGGGGATTTCAGAAACGCATCGACTACACCTTATAGGTCAACGAAGAGACGGACGTCTGGCGACTTCGGCAGCGCTTTACCTGGCTCATGTGGTACGACATTATCAAGGCCGTGCGGCCGGACGTGTCAGGGCGCCGGCTGGGGCGTAAGGTCAAGGAAGACGTCCGGGCCTTCGTCGCCACCGTGGAGTCGGACGAGAACCAGGCCGAGGTCATCGTGGCGAACATCTCGAGCTAGTGTCGCTTTTACGGCATGCGGTTACAGGCCATGTGCGATATCTTCGGGGAAGGATGCATCTTGATCCTCTTGCCGCAACTCACCTAGAAGCTGCGGGCGCTCGAGCCAGAAGAGTATCGGGAGTGGCGGCACAAGACCCAGTCGCGGATCATGTGTCACCCGGGCTCCCCGGCCGACAACACCCCATGGGGCGAATGGCCCCCATGGGGCCAACGGCCCCCAAGTGCCAAGGCGGCCCCCACGAGACACACACAGAAAGAGATAAATAGGACCTCTATTCTCGCACTGCTGGGGAAGCCCTCAACCTCTATTCTCGCACTGCTGGAGAAGCCCTCAACAGTGCGAGAAGTCGATGTCTCAAGGACAGCTTTATACAAATCAAGATACGTGTTCAACCCTCTAGCTCTCCATCTAACGATCCCACCCCAAAGCTCTCTGACAATGGAGGTCACTGGTCAACTCATTCGGGCCTGGAGGTAGTTCTTCCGACTGGTGGTCTGCTGCGGACAGGCATTGGGCCTCTGCCTGGCGACAATACCTGGCAAACATTTCCTTACGGAGTTGGGCCGATGTCAGAGGACCACAGTATTCTCGACGGTCGTCTAGAGGCTGACAGTATATTAAAGTGGAATATTTTCTCAGTTGAAATTTGGAATCGTCATAAAGATGGGCGATGCCTTGCTGCGGTTGGTACGTCGTACCCATCAACAATGGCTGACAATTTGCTGAACCGTGAACAAGATCGATGTTGTTCGGCCCATGAGAATTGCTAATTTACTCGAGAACGTCGCCCAAATCAGACACAGCACGACTGAGCTGGAAGTTTCAGGGCTCCCTCGCTCGCATTACTATCAAGGCAACGGTCCATTACCTGGAGATGTGCTGCTGCCTCAATCCCGAGGAAACGCCCGAGCGGGCAACAAATCAATTGCGCCTACCCCGGCCAGACAAGCAGAGACGGCCCTGTCAGATGCAGCCCGGTCAGGGGTAGGGATCCTTGTGTCACAAACAGAGCCGAGGAGCACGCTGCTCGCAGGGACTTCCTGGCCGCATGCTGCGGCGTTCAACTAACGGTTCCCGACTTTAAACCGAACGTTGGGCTGTGGTGGTACTTCTCCTTCGAGATATTCGATTCCTTCTGGGACTTCTTCAATCGTCGGCGGCTGCACCTGTCCAGGTCGACCAGGATGTGTGCGACCCACTTGTCTTACCGCCTCGCATTACCTTAGAGGAGCGCGCGTGGATGCGGGCAGCGACGAGGGACTGTCGCGGTAGATGAACGAGTACTCGTATTGACCCGTCGAGCCGAGCGGTGCGATGAGGGGGACTGGTGAAGTCCGTGAGGCCCGTAGACCTGTGGGTCTGGATGTTTTCGAGAACCACACGCAGTTCGCCTTCTCCTCTCCACATTTGACATGACGGATCTTGCACGTATAGCAGCCTGTCTGGGATTTCTTGTGAGCTTGACGAATAGTTAGTGGCCCCGTTAGGGACTGTTGTCATGTAGAGGGCACCAGGGTAGCTCGCCATCCTAGTCTCCGTGCGATTCAGAGTGAAGTGCGTTGAGGGGTCGACCGTCTCAACCATTTGGTGGATATCTCGGTGCGGCGGAAAAAGATTGTTCATGACCACGAAATGTATCTTGCGCCAATACGGTATTTTGACCCGATGTAATCCGCAAAACTGGCTAATAAGGGTGTTCGGGTTGTCCAGCACATGTCGATAGTAATCCATTCAGATGTTCCGAAGCGAGTTGATGCTCGGCGTGATAGATAGTTGATAATGTACTTATCGTCCCTCGAAAAGGAGAAAAATGAGCCCGACTTGCCGGGGCTGCCCAATTCCGAGAGGATATACGTGCTGGTTAGATTGACAAGATAGTCGGCCCGGTCCAGACCAGGGATAGCCCCAAGGTGCCGAAAGACCCAAGGGGCAGTTGCTGACGACGAGGAAATAGCCTCGCAGACACTGGCGGCGCCCGCAGATTCTCGTACCAGACGGAGCCGATTTTCCCTGCCCCGAACTGCATGAGATGTCTGTTTCCAACATCGTGGATGGCTGTCCTGAGGCTTCAAGCACGATCACGAGAATACTTGCGACCTACAAGTATTCCTGGACGAAGATCATGGAGCTCTGATTGGCTAACAACATGAACATAAGCAGATTTCTCACAGCTCCGCCTCAGAGATGGCACATGCGATCCTCATCTGCAACCGCTGGTCAACGTACTGCAGTGGACAAGGATGAAAGCGACTGCGTGATCGTTCTGCGCGGTCTGCGCAGTTAGAGTGCTGAGGTTAGGACATCGTGGGAGGGCGTGCAAAGGTTCGATATTGGCTTGGAGGTCCGAAGTCTGACATGTTGACGACGATGGCGGGTGGGTGTGCAATTTGAATACTTCGATACCCGGCGTCCCTGCCTACCTGCCCGAATCCACAGGCCCGCATGGCTGCTGATGTGAGGGATGTTGAATACGATATGGCTTGACATGGTCCCCTGCCATTCCCCGGCGAGGCTGTAGAGATCGGGGGACTCTTCCGCGAGGCAGGCCTTTCGAAGCGTTTGGCGGGGATGGAAGGGGCTCGAAATGCAAGTCAGGCTGGCTCTGAACGAGGCCCACCGTCACCCACCAGCTCCAAAAAGGCGAGGGAAGCCTGGCCACGCAATCGGCGAGGCTCCTTGGCATGGAGAGCGGTGGCCACGATAGCGCTTGGGGAGCCCAACGAGTGTGCGAGGACGACGACGGTGGTTGCTCCAGAGCTGGTCCCGAACTCTTGCCAGGTGGTCGGGAGGATGTAGCGGTGGAGGTATCTGCCTTCTTCCTGGAGGAACGTGGATCCCTCTGACACCGGGTGTTCGTCGTTCCCTTCCCTCACCTCGTCCATCACTGATTTCCCTCATACACGCCATCCGACTTGCCTCATTTATCTTCAACACTCGACCGACACGTGATTGTTCAGACTGAGAGACGAAAAACGCAGGGGTAGTGTCGCCTTCCCGCCGCCGCTGACATTGTTCCCACGAGAACATCCAAGCCAGCTCGTGGAGAAGATGCAATGATTGCCAGACCTCACTAGCCTCAACCCTGGTCCCGTCTCCTGCTCATATGCCATTCTGAACATTTCTTGGATCGGCGAGGACAATGACGAGGCTTCGAATTTGGCCCTTCCAAGCCTCGATACGAAGGATGCCGATGAAGTGTTCCAGTTCGAGTGGACAGCTGCGGGCATCCTCTTCATCTACCTGTCCAGTGTTGTCTTCTCATTCTGTCTCACTTCGCTGCAGCCCTTCTACATCAAAAGAGGCGATGAACTTTTTCCGCTATCAAGTCCATAAATGGCAGCAGGATTCGGACCCTTCGGTGTGCTTCGACGCCGCAACGATAGAATCCGACTTGGGCTTCACGTTCCGCCTGCTCGGTGGCTTCTCGGGCCAGCTCCAGACTCGGCCTCTTCGTCCCTCTAACCCAACACTGTTGCAGTCTCTTGGTCCTCTCCCATCAACAGTTGGTCAATCTGTATTCGAGGCGACGAGAAATACGTGCTTTGCCCTGCGGAAGCTGGAGTGTTTTCATACTGCTCGCTCAAAGCTGTCTTGGTGCGGGAGGGAGTACATGTCAAAATGAGGCTGTTGGAGCCACCGTCATATTAACGCAGAGGGGAGCACGAGGTGCTCTGATGTCCGTTTTGATGAATATTAGAACCAGTTCGGCGGAGGATCGCGGAGAAGAGTGGGATCTACGCAGTAGAGCCAACGAGGATGACTTACTGCGGCCAAGCGCGGCCTCTATCCGCCAGATCACTTTCGCCGCACTCGTCGCCGTCGTTGTCGTCGCCCTCGTCATCACCAACGACGCGGACCTCGGCGCCCAATCTGTACCTCCACCTCTCCGTCCTAGCCGTGTGGCGCTGTTGAGACCCGTCAAGCTGAGCGTCGTACTGAGTGGGAATGCGGAGAGCGACCTCCCGCTTGTCACTTCCGCGCTTCCTGGTTTCCGACGGTGCCTCTCAGATCGTCATGCTACAGTTCGCGCAGAAATGGTCGAGACGGGCACGGTCTTCGTGGCAGCACGAGGGAAGGAATGCCTAGAGCCTCTTATGGGGCTATTTGAAACGGTCAGCGTCGCAGGATCGCCGTTTGGCCCAACAGTAGCGCATATGGAGCAGTACCTACAAGATGACTCCGAGTTCAATTTGTCCTTGCTCACGACACAGGTAACGCTTGGCTTCAAGTTGACGCTGCTTTATGGTGCCAAGGGGGATGCCCAGAGAATGCGAGATACGGCCACCGCTTGCCACGCTCCCGGTGCTGACGCTGGCTTCGACTCGCCCATGAAGTGGACTATATCGTCAGCAAAGTGAAAACATGGATACACCTCTGTGGGTAAACGGCTGCCACGTTCTTCTCAAGGATGTAAGGCATCGGGGAGGGGGAAACAACACACAAGGACCCGCAAACTTATCTAGCAGTATTAGTAGTGAGAGGCTGACTGTTCCGCCCGCTAGGCGTTGAGGATGGATGAAAAGACCACCCCCACAGCTTACGGTGCGCTGGTGGTACGAGCGAACGTCCAGCCGGGTGACTGGGTGCTGGTGCACGCCGGTGCTGGAGGTGTGGGTCTGTCAGCGGTTCAGATCACTTACTTGAACCGACGGTGTTGGTCAAGAAGTTGCCGGCTAGCAAACCACCCTTGTTTTCCGGAGGCAGTCATGCCATCAAAGCTCCGCCGATCAATGTTGGGATGAGAAACACAAGGCAGCGGAGGGCGAATACGTACGATACCATGACCCGCGCCGATTTGCACGTCTTCGGTGCCGGGTGAAGCCTGGTCGATCTTGGTGTCGCACCCGTGAGCGTTTACCACGCCCGGTGGCGGTGGTGGTACAAGCAACGGACCAGGAGAGGACGAATCGGCGGTCGAATCATCCAAATGTAATTGATCAGCGTCCACCTCATCGTATTTCCTTTTACGGCCAGTTCCGTTGATGAGTTCCAGGATCTGTTGATCGAAGCCCTTCTCCGCCGCGAGGTTCTGGGCCTTTTTGGTGGTGGCGAGGAGATTGCGCGCGATCGTGCATAGGTCGTTCACCCGTGCCATGTCCTTGACGAGACTGAGGTAATGAGCAGCAATGAGTTCGGCAGAAATCTGCTCCCTGTGTTCACACCATAGTCCCCAGAGATCAGATAGCGCAGTAACGAGAAATGTCCACTGGGTATCCTTTTCCTGCCTAGGTAAAGGGCCCCAGGCTGGCTTCAGGTGCTGGGAGTTATGCCAACCACGCGCATCACTCGACGCCCGTTATCGAACAGAAAACTCCCCCCGCCGCCGCCAAACCGCGACCGAGGTTGAAGAAGGCACTTGCCGATGCATACTCCCCTTATTTTGGGCCCAAGTTGGATCCGGAAACTGAAGTCACTATCACAACTAGGGCTAATGAAGGCAGGAATAAGAGGTCCGTCTCAAAGTTTGTTAGACCCTGCTGGTGCTGGTGAGACGATGAGCTGGAATTGATCAGCTCAAGAAAAAACAAATGCGGCACCAGTATTGCGACTTGATGACAATGTTAGCAGTTTGAAAAGAAATCTTTTTCTCGACCTACACGAGGGCTCCGTCAGGACATATGTGGAATCACTATCCGACCAAGTCACAGATCGAAGTCGGGTCAATCACCGCCTGATATCGACTCTTACGAGTTTGATTTGCTCGCCCAAAGCCTTCTCGAGTTCCACATAGCCGCTATGCAGCATAGCCTCGATACCGCCCTCATACCGACGATGGTGATTAATAACGTCTTGAACGCAGGCAGCAATCGTTTTGCGGTGCGAATGGTTAGCTGCCAGGATCTGCATGGTCTTGCTGAGCGTGTCAAGCAATCCCAAGCGGGCCGAGTATTGATCTAGTGTCGTCGACTTGAGAAACTCCTGTAATGTTTCGACCAAATGTTGTTGCTATGAAGCGAAGATCTTCTCGGATCGCAAGGGCCGTCTGTATTCCTCTTGGTACGCAGTCAGTCATGGCGCAGAAAAAGCATTCACCCCAGGGCCTCCTTGTCGGCCGGAGATGTCACACATTTACTTAGTCCCAGTTGTCGAACGTCGGATCGGCGGAGTCCGGGTTGGCCGTCGTCTGGCTCTGGTACGCTTCCAACATCTTGACCAGGTGAGGGTATTCGAACAATCTGCTGCCACGCACGCCACCGATGGTTTGCATGGGGCCTGTCTGGGGCCGGCCACCGATGACGATGCTCATGACGCTGATATCAGAATGCAATTCAAGCAGCAGGCGGCGGAAACCCAAAAGTTGTCGTTGTAGGTTCGTGGCGTGTCACAAATGCATCCGTGTCGTGTCAGATTTCGCACGTCAAAAAAGCACAGCAGCCCAGGCCTATACCAATCCCGACCGCCGTCCCGAGTTGGTTTTTTGCATCTTGGTTACTGTCATATCCATTTCCTGGCATGTAGACGTTGGCTGGCTGAGGGTGCGAGGCGCCCGACGACGACTAGAACAACCACATGGACGTCTGGCACGCGAAATACTCGGTCTCGGCTGAGAAATGTCAAAGGTGAGTGATGAGCTCAGAAAATTATTCCACACTCACCATACCTCGCTGCACTTGCTTCTCCTTGTTCTCGTCTTTGTAGGTCTCATGCCACACCTCTTTCAACGCCCGAGATATCTCAGAAAATGTCATTTAGGAGGTGATGGTTGGCCCTCGGCTTTCCCCACGAGTCCGGATCACCCACCGACTTCGACCATGGCGGTTGAAAGCGAACGAGCCACATCCTTCGGGGTTGACTGCAATCGGTCGAAGAGGAGGGATTTCTGGCCGGCCTTGGGAGGGGCAAGGTCACCAGGCATCGTTTCAGTAGCGCCAGGTCCAGGAATATGAGGAGCACTCGGGCTTATGATAACGCTTGGAGCAATGTGATGACGGCCGTGGTATATGTTTGGAGATATGTAATGAACCGGAATCCACATCGCCGAACATGCAGTGTGAAGAGTGTGTCGATCATTTGTGCTGCTTTGGTGCACAGCTCTTTCGCTTGCAGGGAGATGTTCCGGTACGGCCGACACAAGAGGATCGAGCGACAGTTATGGTCGGGATATGCAACAGGCGTTGCATCAAATGATACATAACTGTTCAATCACGCTCGAAGATCCACAAAATGCCACCAAGAAATACCGCGATGGCGCCTTGGTGACTCTGATTCCGGCCGAGGCCAGAATAGAAAGGGTGAAGGTAGTCATCAGCCTGGATCCGATGGAAGTTCAGGACACAGCCGAACAGTGCCCAGGGCGTGCAGTAGCCAATAATCTGGCCTTTGTGGCCTTGAGCAACACTTCTTCCACACGCGGGATATGCCACAACTCACCTAATTTGCCGGCCGTTACACCTAGAACTTCAGCTTTTTTGACCCGTTGACCCTTGTAACCTCGCCCAGCGCAAATCATGTCTCAAAACACGCCTGGTCAGACCGTCGCTCGCGCTATCCTTATTCAAATCTTCTTCCTCATCATCAAGCCCAGGCTCTGGAAAAGCTTGATCAAAGAACATGGCTGCTTTCGTGGAAAGGCCCTCAATTTGCGGTATTTGTTTCATAAGGCCGATCAAATCATCCGTGACGGCTTGAAGTTGAGTTGACGACTCTCCACCAAGTCGACTTCTTGAGGAGGTGCCGTGCTCTTTGTCTCGCTACAAGGCTTGAGGGGCAGAAGACAAGGTTCCTTCCCAAGACGAAAAGACAGAAGATCGTAGTCAATCGAATCAGTCAATCAATCCAGATCTCGAGTTTGTCACTGAAGGCGAATATCTCTCGGGGCGTGATATATGACAACTGTGCCATTCCATCTCCAACCCTTTGGGCAATGATGCAGAATTCGACAGTTACGCGTAGCGCGGTGTCACTTCCAGCCGGACCCGGAGCTCGGCTGATGCGCAGGCACGCCTGTCGTGCTGGGGAAGGGGGGTGTCGTCAAGACGCTGCCCCTGCCGCTGTTCACCGACGAGAATCGTCCTCGCCAGGGGTTTGCGAGGGAGCTAAGTCATCCTCGCCATCATCGCTGTCTGGCCGGTCCTCAATGCTTCGTAGAAATGCTTCCTTTTTCTTGGCTTCCGCAATCTTGCCAACAGCCCTCGTCTTTGAGCAGTTCTCGGCGCATTTTGGCAAACTCCCTTCTTTTGGCCTCTCTTCTTCGAACGGCGGCATCTCCTCCTCCGCCCCCTCTTCTTCTTTCTCTTCTTCATCCACCCTCCCCTTGTCTAGTGTAACCAAAGTCGAGCATGACACTAGCCCACAGGACATCCGCGACGCCTGGAAGGAGTTCGCGAGCATCGTTGGCCCGGCCTGGGCATGCAGCTGACCGAGCGCGTGACGCCGCCCGAGGGCGCCCACATCCTCGGCGAGTACATCCCCGGCAACATCATCGTCAGCTGCAATGCGTGGATCATGCACCGCCACAAGCCCACCTATGGCGAGGACGTCGACTTCTTCCGCCCGTAGCGCTGGCTGGCCGCGAGCCCAGACCAGCTGGTACAACCCCAGCATTCTGGACGCGGTGCGCAACGCGTGCATCATGAGCCGGCACGTCGGCTTCCTGAACGGCGGCGACAGCAAGTTCAACCTCAGCGTGGCCGAGGGCCTGTGGCTGCCCACTGTGGGCGGCGCAAAGGTGGTCGATATGCAGTCTCGGATCTCCCACCCGATGTTGCATATCAGCATTGCTCAGAAACTGCCTGGTAAAATGCTCATTCCCTCTGGATATGGCCTGCCCGAAGCTGCGTCTATTGCATCACCTCCTGTAGCAGGTATTCGTACCTCGAAAACATCGCCGTCCGCCAATTTTTCGCCCGGTCGGTGGCTTTGAAGCATCTCCTCCAGTGCCCTAGCCTTTTGCTGAACCTTTGCAACTCACCTCTCCCGCTGCCTTTGCCCGTCAATCCGTCTTGTGCCCCGTTTCGTACCCAGCCATAGCCTTGATGAGCTCAGTTCGTCCAGCTGTCTTTTGACGTAAACCATCAAATCGCAATTAGGCTAGACATTCGCTGTTTTGAGAAGTTAACCAAGACGTGCAAGCCGCTGCGTCGATATTTGCAGAATACGAATTGATGGGCCATTATGAAGAGTTCGCGACATTTCTGAGGTTCAATCAAGCGATATAGGCCTATCTGTAATTAACTCACGGCTGGAGCCATCATCAAACTGAAGGAAATGTGGTAATTTGTGTATGGGTGTAGAGATATACGTACCTCCAACTGAGTGAGTGTGTGACATGTGAAAGTCCTTCTTCTCCAGCCAAGCTCTGAAGAAGGTGCGGTACAATCTCAGCGCTAGCCACACAACACCACGCATTCGAAAACATTGTGTGCCACCAAAAATAATGAGACACGGACGTATAGAAAACCCAAGAAGAAGAAAAAAAAAAGAGAAAAAAAAGAAATTGAAGATGGGGCCTCCAGACGCGGCCAGAATAGGGGAACCCAATCCTGTGTCCCTATATTTCCCACTTTGTTCCATGCAGGAGCCGAAGCCGTTGTATCCTATTATGGTAGTCCGTCCCCAAGGATCTTTGATCCCCAGTGCTTCGTGCGGTCACTGTATGTATGTTGAACTCGATGGGAAAGAGACACAGATTTGTGTTCGACTTTCCGACGGGATCCTTCATCGGCTTGGGAACAAATTCTGGAAATCTAAAATATATGTGAATAGGATAGGAGAGAGCATTAACTGGGAGTGGGGCCAACGAATGTTCCAACGAGGGTGAGGTCACCCGGTCCATCGCTCACTCAGCCATATGATTTTGGAATTTTCACATCCTCGATGGGCTTACCAACGTCTCACCTTTTGTACACCGCTGGCCGCGGCCGGTTGGCCGACTTCGACCAGGGTATGCAGCCAGTCGAACACATTAGAGTAGATGAACTTGGCCAGGAATCGCGCACGACGGCGGCCTGCTGCTGCGTGAGAACTAAGGTGATCTTCTCCCTAGCGGGTGATGATTTGCTTCTTGACCGTCCATCTGGCAAAATCTGTCGCCTCACTGCCCAATATGCTGCAGGCCCGGACGAGCGTAGGCTCACTCGCGAGAGGGTTGAGTCTGAGCGCGTGGCAGTGATTTTGATGTTTCCGATGTGGCAGGAGAGCGGTAAGGACTCGGAAGATCTCGTTACCCCATGATCCTCGATGGAATTTCTTACGGAGCCCAGGTATCCGGAAACATAAAATGGATATTGTTCAGCGGAAACTCACCAAGATCCTCTGGACGACGGAAGACGGACGTCACTCCCGCCACAATGTCCTTTACCATGTAGTATACCGAGCCTGACGGACGAAAAATCCCAATCCGACTGTCGATCGGGGACATGAAAGATGTTACGGACCCGAAGCCGAGAAAATCAAAGCCAGCAAGAAAACCTAAGCAGCACGTCATATGCTGTCTTACACGGAGCACTCCCAGAAATTCAAGCCGCTTCGCAGATAAGATGTCCATCGTGGAGTCGCACTGCTGGGACGCTCTCTTCGCTTCCAGCTGCTCGTGCTCGAAGTCATTGAAACATGCCTGCGAGGGGATTCGGCTGCGACGTGGATCCCGTCGTTGTGGCGAAGTGCACTGTGCTCCGAGGATTGAAATTGTGCAGTTAGTCCACGGCATGCTCAAACGTCCCTGCCAGAGCCTGCATCAAGCAAAACGTGCAATAGCCACTCGAACCCTCGACCTCACTGTCCTGGAAATGTCTCTGGCCAATTTCGTTTCCTCGTTCTGCGTCGCAAGCTGTGGCACTGGGAATTTCACTCTGGACCAGATCCGCCCGGCGACATTGCTGCGTCGGAAGCGGCGCTGTCACCCAGAAGAGGAGGGCTTATGAACCTGCCCATCGCAGAGGTCTTGGGGATGACGAAGACTGCGACCACATGCGTGAGCAGAAAGACAAGCCAGAATTGGTCGTTCTCGGCACCAGGAAGCACGTTTGAGGCGTCCTCCGTTTGTTGGCGATCTCTGTCGACAAGTGATCGATGCAGCTTCGAAGGCTGGTCGGCACTCAATGCATCCGTGGATAGCCCCAAAACACAAAAGCTGCAGATTTTGATGGAACACCCTTCGCCCCAGCTCATACGGGAGGCTGAGGAGCGGTGACAATGGCAACGCTCTGGCCGCCATCCAAGCTGTGTTGTCATCTTTTGTCTGAAGTTGCACTTCTTTTCTTCTACTACCATGCTCATGGACACACTTGTCTCAGCGAAAAGGGTGTCCTCCGCCGACTTGAGCCCAGTGGTATCGTACGCGGAGGAAGAGGAAGGAAATGACCAGCGACGACAATGGCCCAGAAATTGACGAGTTGAGCCGAGAGGATCGTAGTGTGGCGGTAGGCGAGGACAGTGAAGTAGTTGCCCTCCACATCGAAGATCGCAAGAATAATATCTATTGTCAGTCGTTGGTTCCTGAGCATTTCGATATGATAGAGCCTCAAGGGGCATTACATTTCCAACCGTCCTTGACAACCATCTGCAGCCACTTTTCAAAGCCATATTTGTAGAGAGTGTAACCCGTATAGACGAAATTGAGCAATACGTAGATGAACAAGGTCTGAAAGGCGGGCATGCTGGTGGCGCGGATAACTTTGATATCCTTGGAGTTGCTCATGGCGAGGAGCTCTCGGTGGCGATCAGGAATCGTCAAAGGGTCTCTGTACTTGAACAACGGTCAAGTTGGAGCTTTATACTGTTGAGCGAAGCGAAAACAGTATTACAGGAAACCTCGTCGAAAAAGCCGTGGATTTGCTCGGTGCGGAGGAGTATTCAAATCCGATGGGATGCTTTTTGTAGCATTACGTGCCACCTGACATTTGACCAATAAGGTGGGGAAAAGCGCCTTCGTACCACGGCGACGGACTCGCTTGCCTCTACGTCATGAATGACAGAGTGTTATCCTTATTTAATATAGTGCCGAGAATCTACATTCATAGGATAATGTCCGGAATAGTGCGTACGTGGTATTCTGGACATTATCCTATCAATCATTTTTGCCTGAGGGACCGTGAGATCCAGCTGCGGTTCGTATAGGCGCCTGACGGCCAGCTGAGCTACGCACACGAGGCGAGGGTTCGGATCCAGGTGGTAACAGCTTTATGTTCTTTGAGCTTTTCAAGGTAGCAAGTGGATTTTGAGATGTGTGAGGGCCAAGGCTGGGCGCCAAGAGAATTGCCATGAATGACAGAGTGTTAGAATCTATCAATAATTGAGAGGATTCTCTGTCTTTTTGCCTTTGGTAGGGAATTGGGGCACTATTCCTGACACTCTGCCTCTGCTTCTGCCTCTGCCTCTGCCTCTGCCCGGTACCCAGTACCCAGTACCCAGTACCCAGTGCCCGTCTTTTTTCACCTTCAGTCTTTTCCCCACGCTTAGCAGGTCGCCTTAGGGAGTCAGGCGATGAAAACGCCGTCCTACAGCGGGTTTTGTCGCCTCGGCGGGTGCAATTGGCCCTTCAGCTGATCCCTGCTTGGATCCTTGATCACGCTGCCGCGCCGGTTGTAAGGGCGACTTTGTTGAACCCCTGGCAACTTGCCGCGGCGCTTGTCACGTATCGCCTTCTCGACGATTCTGTCTCTCCGCCTCGCAGCCTATCCCTCTCGTCCCATCCACGGCGTTGTCGACCTCGCCGCAGCGAAATGTCCCCTGCAGACAATGAGGTTGAACGTCCTTCTTAGCCAGCGAAGTCCCTCGAGGCCACCAGAATCAACGCCGGAAAACAATCGACGAGCGTCGCAGGGGACACCACGGCGGCGACCTACCAGGTTTATCGTCGATGGAGCAGTTTGCCGGAGAGATCAGCACTCCCACCCACCGTTCCCCCGGCCAGCTTGCCCGTCGTGGGCTGGACGCACTCGAATCCACTCCCCATGAGCTCAGGTGCAGACATGTATTATTACCGGTGGTCCTCCAACGCGATCTCAAGCCGATCCCACAACCTGGGCGCAAGTTCGGTGGAAAAGAGAGAGATACTGCAGACACACCTAGAATCGGTGAGCGGTGGCGACAGTCTCGCTTGCCACAACAATAACATCACCAACGGCATCATGCTCTCGGGGACAAGCCATGCAAACTGGGTTTCTGACCTTGTGTGGCTGGACAATCACCCATATGACCCCACGACTGGAGGAGGAGTGATCGGAGTTGAGCTCGGCAGCACAACTATTACTTCCCCGTCGCCATACGGCACGAACATCTCGATCGCACGTAGCGTCAAGCCAGCGAGTCGCTGCTAAGGGCCAACCATGAAGTGCGAAGGCAAGAAATTCATTACCGAGGGTATTACGAAGTGCACATCACTCAAGAGCAAGTCAATGCGTACTACTTCGGAATGTCAACGGTGGTCACTCGCAACCGGAATTAAATCTCGCTGGCCAACTTCACCGTCATCAACGGTGAGAACAAGTTACATCAGTTCAATGGGGCAGGGGTGCCCAGTCCTGTCGAGACCGGCTCCGTCAAGTTCAGGCACACCAAGCAGACCAACATCACCAATGCGACGGTTACAGGGTTGTACTTCACCACTCATGCCGGACTGGAAGTGCTTTGAGCGACGATGAAATGTCTGGTGGAGAGGGGTTTTGTGAGAGAGGTGTGCTCTCAGAAAGTATCCTGTACTGCATCACGGCGGATCGTACTGCCTTGTTAGAGAAGGCTGCGAAAGCGGTTGACCTGGGCAAGTTCATGTGCGGGTTTAGGTTTCGCACTGCTCACAGGCCTGACCACCCTCAAGCAAAATCAGACCAACATGAGCCATCCGAGGAAAACATGACCATGCAATCGGGTAACACCTCTTGCTGGTATGCCCGGCCCGAGTTGGTACGTCTTTGCACAGTTCTGCATGCCTTGCAATCTCCTGGTATGGTCCGTGCGTGGTGACACAAAGCATGTCGGCAACAGCAATGGTACCAAATGACCATGCGTGGTCGCGTTGGGTGGTCACAGGCTCTTGGAAACGAGGAACAATAAAGGATAGAAGATCTCAGTGCAATTAGCACTCTTTTCCCTGCGAAGCAAGGCTCAATACTTGATACAATGATATCTCCCGGCAGCAAATGCTGACGGGCACAGACCACCAGCAATTCCCTTCCTTCCAGGTCGATCTCCGTAGCCCCAGAGACTTCCGATTCCCCGAAGAATGTGCAGTGTAACTTAGTTCACCAACTCAGATCCCGCCCGCCCAATCACACAGGATGGAACCCAAGCCTTTCGGTCGCCGGGCTAGTACGATACATTAAGGATCGCTTCGACGGTGTGTTGGTGATTCGCGCCCATGGCCAGCAAGTAGAAGCGAAGCTGGCCGGCTCGTTGAACGCCGTCGAACCGGAAATCGCCATTGTCGCGACGGGATCCATGCACACGTCTGACAAATTCACCGCGATCCATCTGGTCGCAAAACATGGACATCGGGCCTCTCGGCGGGTTTCTCACGCGGACCACGACCGAACTGCCTCTCCTGCCTTTGTGTTAGTGTAACTCCCACTCTGGAATGGATGAGACGTACCAGTCTCGAACTTCGAGAGAGCATCGTCCGCCACCAGGAGGCATCGCTGCTAGAGAGAGCTTTGGGTTGGAATCGTCGGACGAATGGAATGCGAGTCAAATGCGTATGGCTTGAGTATGTAGAGCTATCCGTGAGATATCGTATACTCGCAGTGTTGGAGAAGGAATAGGCTTCTCTCTGCAGTTCGAGGACGAATGGTATTTATACCCAGTCCGTCCGTTGGTGGGTCTGCGCACGTATCACCGTGTTTTAGATCAACTGCAAACATCTGTGTTTGTCCTTGTGACTGCAATTCCTGGCGTTGGTATTTGCAACCACTGCGTTGGTCCTTCCTTCCCCTGCGTTTGTCCTCACCACTTCTTGCGTTGGCCCGTGCAATCCCCTGCGTTGGTCTTCTTGGACTGACTCGAGAGGCCAGCCGAGTATCCCCTCATCCTTGGGCAATGATCGATGGGGCACATGGAGGCTGTTCGGCGCTATGCACCCACGGTTGAATGTGAGTGAGTGCCTTCGAGGCAGCAAACGGAAGAGGGGAAAGACTGGACGCAGGTCGTCATCCTGTTGTATCACTACATTGGCTTGTCAAAAGTCCTCTGGATCTACCAGCTTGTCCGGCTGTTGGTCTGTTCTCACCTCTTCATGACCAGCATTGGCCACATCACCTATGTCATCAGCACGAACAACTTCCCATCCCGCAGAGTGGCGACTGTATTGTTGAGGGCTCATTTGCGCAACGTCGTTCTCGCATTCGTGGGGGGCACCAGGTACGATCTGTGCTGTTTCACAATGCTGATCAGCTTGGGGGGTCTCATTTAGGGATGTCACCGACGGAGCGAGATTGTGGTAGGTCTCTTAACACCCCCTTCTGCCCCGTACATGTCTCCTTCCGAATCAGAGCCCGCAGATGGACTGTTGTGCTTAACAACTTCAAAAACATCTCTTGTGTTGATGGTTTCTCTGCAAGAAAGCAGCGAGGGATTTCTCCTTTGTCCGTCTTCACCGTGATCGACTTCTCCAAACATTCTTTACAGGCATTGTGCTAACATATAGTGACGGCAGCGTTGTTCAGACAGCAGCCACTCGATTCCTCCTGGGTTTGGCGCAGGGCATTGGTGGTGAAAGTTGTGATGGGGTCACCCAATCCTCCAAAATGGGCATCACGTACCATAAAATACGTCCGCGTATTATGGCACGTGACGCCCCAGGTCATCGGCAAATGCCATTCTTATCAGCCGCAGCCGCAACAGCAGCATCCTCCTCATCCGCCACGATATCCTTATTCTGAGTCTGGACGGGATGACAGTAAGACTGCCGGAGGCGCAGAAGCTGTGCAAAGATTGTCGTGTACGACTTCTTCGACAACGACGGACTTCGGCGGAAGCCGTACAAGCGCTCCGCCCTCGGTGGTCCTCAGGTCTTTCGTGTTTCTCAACACCAGAAGCTCCAGGACAGTCTGAACAACACTGAGGGCTTGTGCAATCTCTCGGAAAGCCAGCATCTCTGTGGATTTCTGGGAAGCTTCGGGCGGAGGCTGAGGCGGAGGAAGTTAAATCCCAAAGAGATCAAGGCCATCCTCTCCCTACGAGAGATCGTCCATCGCCGTCATCCAGGAGAGCTAATTGCCGCCTGCAGACATGAATCATCTCACCACGCTAGATTTTCGGGTATCTTGAGTAATCTGGTAAGCGTCTGGTTCATTCTTGAGAGGCCACAGTCAACCGTGACTGATGCTCGAGGCGACGTCCAGTCTCAGGGCTGCTACAGTCTGGAGGTCCAACGCCGCTGGTGCCTAACCGGGACATCGAGTCAAAATCGATGAGACGACCTGGGATCTCTAACGCGGTTCCTCCGCATGTATCCATACGAGACAGCAGGTCGAATTCTTCCCTGCTATGTCCGTTTCACGCACTTCCCGACACGAGGGTCCTTGATACGAGGAGAGACCTGTCATCTGCACTGCTCTCGAGAGTGACAAATCCTGGAGAAGGCACGGTCTTACTGCGTGAAGGCCTAAGGGATGGATGGATGGTCCTACGTTATCTTTTTTATCTATTGTCCTGTCGATGGATGGGTCGTGCGTGGACCCAGTCTCTGGGTGCAAGACAACGCACAGTCCTTCTGTCTTTACCATTGTCGTTCGTGCTGGTCCTTCTGCACATATCCTTTATCGAGCCACTATTATGTGCACCTGTTAGTGCTGCGGTTGGAGCTGCAGTCGACAACACTTAAAGCGTTTGGCATGACAGGGCTGGCGAGCCTGAGTGACATATTTTCTCGCCTTGGGGCCCTCGTGGAGTGCATGTTTATATGACCACCCGTCGAAAGTGAGCCCCGTGACGGCATCACTACCACGACGAGCTGGATCTGCCGATGTCGATAACATGATTCGCATTGGTTTGCGGGCCATGTCTTTGGATCCCCTATTGAACTATCGCTACCGTTATCCAGCGAAAAGGTTCACTACCAGAAGGGTGCGCGTTCTATGCATCCTCCGTAGACCGCTCGCTTTCAATAATACTGTTTGATCGCTTTTCCGATTATCTTCACCCTCCCCCATAGTCTGAGCATCGGTGGATCGCAACGCCCTCAACGCCTTCACCAGACCGGTCTCTCGCCGGATGTGGAAATTTCTTGTGTATCCAACGAAAACATCGTGCATCTCGCCCCAGGGCGTATGGATGGGACAATGTGTTTCACCACAGAAATGTTCTGTTTGACTAACTCTCTCCGCTCCATCACGGGAATGTCTGTCGTGATCCCAAAGTATGTCGTGATCTCAAAGCCCAGTTTGTCAGGATTTCCAACACCGTTGTGGCAGCGCAGATTCCAAAGACTGCCAGACCTTTTGTGGATGATATAGCCATCCAAGGCCGGAAGACTGACTATTCTGAGGAGGTATGCCTTCCTGGAGTATAATTGACCTGAAGGAGCAGTCTAGAGTGCCTATAAGTTTGGGGACGGGACGATCGTCAGAGCACATCTTTGATCCCGCGGCGGACGAAGGAGTTGTTTTCCTCCACGTTGTCAATACTCCGGTCTCACGGTGGGTATGTCCAGCGTTCGCACATCCCCGTATATACCGTTGTCGTCGGCACGCTATCCTGATGTCTGGACGTCGTATGGGACCTGTCTTTCCACGTCCTAACTTTCACTGACTCAAACGGCACCGTGATGAACGTTTTCCAAAACGAAAAGTTCCTCCACGGCTCGACTTTGAGGAATTTCACCAAGCTGAGCTGAACAAATCTTCTAGGCGGTTGACGAGGGGGATTCCAGTCAGGACCGCTCTGCGCTTTGCTTTGATCTCATAACACGCCGTGGATGTCTTTGCTGTCTGTTTTCGGTGGCGTGGGCCTCATCGAGAATGACCGGATGAAAAGGAGGGACTGCATCACCTTGAGTGGACATGCCACGATTTGTCCGCCGGCTCGCCCCATCTGTGACATTGGTCAGACTCATCCTAGGGGCTGGGGGCAGGGCAATACAATCAATGGTAGGTGATGCTGTCCCTCGGGTCCCTGCGGTTCCGCGACGACACTCTCCAGGGGCGCTGGTAGTTGAAATACAGCTGACAACGGTGCCTCCTCTAAACCACCCGAGTTCCAGCACGCCTTCCGGGACCTCGTGCTCACCACGTTGGCTTTGCGGCGGTGTTTGAATGTAACAACCTCTCGCATGATCACATATAGTACGCAGGCTGCGTTCTGGAGTCGGACGCCGGACCACGAAGCGGAGGACGTCAACTGACCCAGGAAGCTCACTTACCCCGAAGGTGTCCTTGCTGCTCACAAGGTGCTGCAGGTTGTTGCAGACAGCTGTACCATCCTCAGACTCAATATCACGTTTGGTGCCAAGACAGACGACGTTCTCATGCTCCATCACTTTGACGACAGGGACCTTTGTCGGCAGGGACCTTGGCCACTTCTTCTTTAGTGAGTTCAGTATCAGCCGCCTTGACCTGGGCATATGCAATGCCGGCGTCCGAATTCTCGTGCATGATGTCATGAACGACCATGAGCACAGGACGGGAAGAGGCACGTGACTAGCTCGTATATTGCACGCGAGACGGGTATGAAGCTTCTTGATCTTGTTACGATTTGAATCGATGTCGATATTCCCTATGTAGATAAGAGGGAAACCCTTGTACGAATCTCTTCCAAGTCAACCCCGACACATGCATTCTGGAAATACCTCCGGAACAGACCATCCAGCGTCCTTCGCCACTCATCCTTGGAAATAAATTCTACCCCTACCCGGCCAGGAGATTCCCACCGTGGAAATAAATTCTACCCCGGCGACGTATGGGGAATCTCCTGGCCGGGAATAGCTGATTTCAGTGACCACCGGTAAACCCCCCAACCATGCAGCTGGTCGGAACAAACGTTCTTCATCGACGGCGGCAGCGGCGGCGGCAGGAATGAGAGAGCTTTTTCCCGCCACCGCCGTCGATGGAAATATCGAGCATGTTGATTATCTCGTCCAGACATGGTGCTTTCGCGCCATGTCTGGACGAGATCGTCTTTTTCCTTCTTCAAACCGCCCCTGCAGCGAGGAATATACCTCTCCAACCGTAACCACCCACCCGCACGCGGGTAGGACAGTCCTTGGCTAGAGCTATTTCTTTCTTGAATTAGCCCTCGCTGCAGGGGCGAACTCCTAACCACCCACCCATAAAGGGAAAAATCTAACTCCTCGTCCGTCTAGCGGAGAGTCTCCAACTTTTCTGAAGCCAGTCAGCATGTGCTCAGGAGGCGGGAAGGAGGCAGTACTTACTAACTCCCGGTAAGAGTGAGCTCTAGCCCGGATGGCGAAGAGCAGAAGAAGTTTTGTGGGAGGAGGTGAAGGGCTGCACGCGTGTCAGAACGAGTGTTCTCATGTGTGGAACGCGTGGGATCTGCATGACTTACTGGTAGAAGTGAGGTTTGGAGGGTGTGTGAGGAGGATGTTGATTTGATTTATATATTTCTGTTTGGATCAAGTCAGCAAAAGAGTTCCAGATGAGAAGCAGAGGAGAAAAGCACTCACAATGTGTGATGTTGATGATGGTGATGGTGATGGTGATGGCGTTGTTGTCTGCAGAGAAAGAAAGAAGGAAGAAGGAAAAAAAAAAAAAAAAACCCAAATATTTATAGCCCGACCCGCCAAGGTCCGCCAAGGTCCGGCAGAACCAGCGTCACCAAAAGATAGGCACCTCGCAAGCTGCACAAGGCGGTGACAACTACAATTACTTCTACAGGCACGCAATATTCATTTGCATTAGGGCACAAGCCTTGCAAAGTGCCGAGAATGAGGCTGTGAAAGGCAGGGGAAGCACGAGCACGTGTGATTTAGACATTGTGACAATCGAAGTCACCGACCTGGGTGAGACACTGGCCAGTGTCAGCATTGCCGTTCTTTGCAGGAGACTCGCTTTGTTCTTGAGGCAATGAATCCCAGACTTTGCTGACTTGGTGATAGACGCGGCAATGTACCAGGCAGCCATGATCTTTGTCACCCACCTCCCTTTCTCATTCCACACCGCTCTCTCGTTCCAGCGCTGCTCGTCTCTGGGGATCTTATAGACCCTTGATGACTCCAAATCCTTCTCATTCTGGACCTCTTTTGCCTATGGCTATCGTTTGCTCATGCTTGTTGCGTCCATATCCGTCTATGCAGGAGACATATTTACGGCCATCAACCTCCTCGCCCTCGATAGATGGGCCGGTCAAACAAAGCCCGAAACTCCACTCAACATTGCTCGTTGGATCTCTGCCGGATGGATCGTTCTATCCTTCGCTGTCCTAGTCTGCCGATGGATGAGAGCAGTAAAAGTTATGCAACATGGTGGAGTTGCGAACACCTACCTACTTGGACCCCTTGGCCGTACGAATACAGTCGACACGGCGGGGAAAGGCAAGAGAATGGAAGCGGTTCTTGGTCTTTGCCGAGTTGACAAGGAGTCAAAAAGGAGGAGGCGCCGAAGTCGCGACACAGCGTGAATACGACGCCCAGGTTGACCTGCAGCACCTCGTCCCAGTCGGTCAGGGGGAACTGGTGCACAGGGTGCCGCCGCTAGATGCTCACGCAGGTCACCAGGATGGACACGTCGTGGCCGGCGCCGGAGTCGAGCACCCGGGGGGCCAGCCCCGACACGTCGACTTGCGAGGACAGGGCGGTGGAGAACAGGCCCAGACAGTGTGCCTCTGAATCCAAGCCTCTTTCTCATATTTCTTGCACGGCACAGTTTGTACTGCCCCGACACCACAATGTTGCGTCTCAAGATTGCACCAAAGAACACTAACGCCAGGCTGCCATGCAATAATCAAACATCTGGCTCTAACATTGCCGTCGGCGTGCCTTCCCTGGCCTTTCCGGTCACGGAGAAGCCCAGCCGTCGGCAATGTCTACCCACTCGACAAGACAGCAGCCTTCTTTCCTTCCACCTCTCGAATGTCCGTGCCGCATCGACACCGACATCCAACACCGTTTTCTTTGGGGGAGCCCCTATCGACAGACGCCATGCCGACCGAATTCGACTTTGTCTTTGCCTCTGCATTTGAGGAGCTGAACAACATGCAAGGTATAGCAGTGCCTCTCCCGGCTTCCGGCCCCAGTCTCTCTTTGGCACAGTTTCTGACATGATGTAAACAGGTACGCAAGGTAAGCGTTAAGGTACCAGCGGACCCAGTTGCATTCTAAAGAGGGTCCAGACCGAATTCCTCCCAAGGAAACTGAGGTTACGGGATTCTTTTCCTCTGCATTCGAGGCCTCTTCATGCTAACTTTGTGCTTGACGGTGTCCTAGTGCCAAATGAGTTCCTCGTTCGACCTTGTTCATCAAGGGAATGTTGTATCTAATGGTCAATGCGGCCGTCGGTGTAAGCGCCGAGCTCTTCATGCAATCAGAGGTACATCAAGGAGAGTAATATAACCATATCGAGGGGAGGAATATTGAGGTGGGAATGAGCAATTTATTACCTCTTCAATGTCATTCGCAGCAAAAGGTCACTCATCCGTAGGTCAAGTCGACCTTGACGCAGCTGCGCTCCAAGTCACGGTGTCAAGCTGGAATGGGATTCCTTTCCCGAGGCACTGGATCATGGGAATGAATGACTCCGGGCGGCGTTTCCAGCAGCGTATTCGTACAGCCTCGTTTTGTCGTTACATCAACTTGGCTGGGAGTAGACGGCCCTATTTCGGAAAGGTCAGAGACTGATATCATTGAGTGTGAAAACTGGGAGAGTTTCAGCGTTGTCGGTGTATCAACTTGGCACAGATTCCCGATACAGCAATAGACCGTCCTATTCGGGAAAGCGAGAAAGTGATGTCATGGAAATTAACAAGGTAGAGGGGGTTGTGTAAACTGGGAGAGATTCAGCGTTCCGCTGTCGGTACATCAACTTGGCACAGCTACCCGATCCGGGAGCACACGAGCCTATTTCGGAAAGGTAAGAAGTGATGTCATGGGTGTACAAACTGGGAGAGACTAGCGTTCCGCTGTCGGTACATCAACTTGGCACAAATGCCCAAACTGGTAGCACACGGCCCTATTTCGGGATAAGAAGTGAAGTCATAGGGTGTACAAACTGGGAGAGACTAGCGTTCCGCTGTCGGTACATCAACTTGGCACAAATGCCCAAACTGGTAGCGCACGGCCCTATTTCGGGATAAGAAGTGATGTCATAGGGTGCGCAAACTGGGAGAAGATCAGCGTTCCGCTGTCGGTACATCAACTTGGCAGAGATGCCCGATCCGGGAGCACACGACCCTATTTCGGAAACGTGAGAGAAGTGATGTCGTGGGGCGTGCGGACTGGGAACTGTCGGAATGTGAGTAAACACGCAACGCCACATATCGGAATGTGAGTAAACACATTCCGCCAAGGCCAATGGCATTCGGGATGGGCAGAGTAAATAAATAAGGGCCACGCGTCCCGCACCATCCTGGATAGTTAATCAATCATTCCATCAAGATATATCCGTGACAGACTGGTTCGCATCCTTATGAAACCAACAGGAACCCTACATTCCTGGCACAGTGTTGGATTCCTGCAACAATCTTGCATGCTTGCAGGACTGTTCCTGGAATGCTCCAGGACTACTGCAAGAATGCAGGATTATTGGAGTACATTCCATCACTCCTCCCTCGGACCACGGCCCTTTCCTTTTTCTTTCTTTCTCCCGCGTCTTGTTCTTGTTTCTGTCCGTCAGAGAATGTCTAAGCCCGTCCGGCCACCAAGCTGGACCATGGAAGTCTTTCGCCTCCCTCGTGGCCGAAATCCCTCCGATAGTTCGAAGTGCGTCGTGGCTGCTGCCGACCCCGTGAATTGATACATGTAGGAACGTGCAGTGTAGTGCACCCCGGGCAATGTGTCGAAATAAAGCATTTGGCCAGGGTTGAAGTTCTTGCACGCTGCGCTCCCACGGAATCAATCCATAATTCAGCTAATTAGGTTGCGTGATTTGCGGCGCCGGATAGTCACGTGACGCCACAGTTCGAATCGTGATAATCTGGGAATCTCTCTCATTTTTCGCGCAATCCTCGGCAGAATCTACACACCAAATTTGTATGGGACTCAATTCTTCATGACATAGATCGATTTCCTGGCGTTATCCTTGACCTCGCCGCCGCCTGGTTTGTATGGCCAACCTTGGTGTTTATTTCATCTGAGGTAGGAAGCCTTGTTGCTTCGATTCCACCAGCCTAGTAGTTTGTTTGCGGACTCTTTTGCCTCTGCCACTGCCACTGCCACTGCCACTGCCACTGCCACTGCCACTGCCATTGCCAATGGCAAGAGACGCCGTCGATGGCGGTAGTTCGCGCGACCATTCAGGGGAATCCTCAGGCGAAGGGCTGCGGCGCGGCCGTGGCCGGTCTGCCTTTCGCAGTGCTAGTTGTGTTGGTCCAGTCGCTCTCGATGTCGGAGGACTCTGTGGTACATCTTCTACCTCTTCCTGCCTCGTATTTTCTGTAGCTCGCGACGCTGTTGACCAAGCTGTATTAACTCTCCCTCCATGCGTGTTCGAAGCCTCTCCCTTGGCCTGTCAAATCGCTGTAGTTAATCAGGTTGTAGCACCTCTCGAATTTCTTCAATTATCCCTCTATTCACCATCAATTCCGTTCGCTCTTCGGGCTGCTTAACCGTGATATTTTCGTAGCTTGGTGACCAGCTCGTGGACGTGATTTGAGGCCCATTGAGCTACCATCGTGGGTGTGGGAGTGATTGAGGAATTGGCTCGCCAGTCGCCCAGGCACGTTTGAGATAGTGGTGGCAAGAAAGGAGGAATTGCCTGGATAGAGAACAGTGGCAATCGCCCAAGTTAGCGACTCTTCCTTTGATCTTAGAGTTTGGCGTAGATAGTGCCACTCCTTGATGACCTTGTTGAGCGCGTCGTTAGTGATAGAGATCCTCACCTCAGGTGTTGACAGGCCGCTTCCCGAGCGTGTTTCTTGAAAAGCTCGCTAGCGATAGATCCTCAGATGCAGCGATGTCTTCAACCACAGATTCAACGGTCTTACAGCGGCGAATTAATCGGCTTTTCAAGACTCAACTAGTTGACCGTTGGTTATCTGAGTGACAACCATGTGATAGGACTCGGATCGCTGGCTAGATTCATGACGGAGATTCAGTAGTTGCTTTGTGAACAGCGCCACACAACACGGTCTTCTTTACCGCGCCATTGATCGAGATATTCAGGCTCGATTAGCTGCGATCTCAGATGGTTGCTATTCTGCTCAAGTGCCGCTTGACTATCGCTCTTAAGATAGTCCCGGGCAAGATGTGAGAGGCCTTCAACGGCGTTTCCAGCACTCAATCTGATCGGTTCGATAGCCCATCTTTCGGAATTTCACCTTCATCGCCTCAATAGCGTGCCAGTTACAAATCTGATACTTCGTGAACGGAAAGCACTTAGTGATCGATGAATGAATCGCTTTGACCGGTTCTGAGATAATAACTGCAGGCGGAACAAACTCTCGTAAATGCTGCTTCAGGCTCTCCTAGAAGAAAAGGTATAAGAGGCGTGGTTCTCACTTGGACAGAAGGAGAATGCCACCGGGAACGATTTGCCTGTGTGCAGTATACCATCGCACGATTCGCCGCCCTCTCAACGCGGTTCTTACTATTGACCGTTCCCTACGCTGCTCGCTCGATGCGCGACTATCTCTTGCTGAGGGCACTGGGGTACGCTAGCTGGCATATGTTCGACCTCAACCCCAACAAACCACCTTTCAGCAGCCAATGCAGCCACAAGCCTGTCAGAGAGCTTTGGGGTGGGATCGTTAGACGGAGAACCAGAGGGTTAAACACGTATCTTGATTGTATAGCTGTCCTTGAGACATCGACTTCTCGCACTGTTGAGGGCTTCTCCAGCAGTGCGAGAATAGAGGTCCTATTTATCTCTTTCTGTGTGTGCCTTCGTGGGGGCCACTCGCCCCATGGGGTGTTGTCGGCCGGGGAGCCCGGGTGACATCGCGATCACATCACGTCAACAA